TGTATGGGTGATTTTTGCCTTTCACAGAAATTAACTGGTGAGGTGAGAAGAAGAAGGAAAGAAATTTGTGAGGCTATGTGAAATTCTTTTGAACCAATGAAAAGCTTGCCTTCACAGAAATTAGCTGGTGAGCCAAGAAGAAGAAGGTAAGAAAGTAGCAAGCATACACAAAATTCCTTTTGATATAAAAATGAGGAGAAAATTATATTATCAGCCTCACACCAGCACACGGCACTTCATGACAAACTTTCACAAATAACCATAGAAAGTTAATTGAATATCTGCTGTCTTAAATAGCATCTCTCAGAATATAGTGCCATATAAAAGCATATAATAACAAAATACAACAATAACACTAATAGACTAGTAAACTTACTGTTGTAGAGTATGAAAAGTTTTTCTTCCTCTGTATGAGTTTGAATCCCTTGTCGCCAAGTTGTTATAGAGTAGTTTCACAGTAGAGGCTTGTATTTCACTAAGTTGGTCCTAAAATAGGTTCAACGCACAAAACGTTAGGAACTTGATATAATAGGTAATGATGCAGCAATCTAGTTGTGGTGGCTGATACTTTAATATCCGACTAACGGTCGTCCGACATTGACTGACTGACCAACTCTCTGAGCGACTGCTACTACTCCTACTTATTATAGGTGGGAGAGTCTATTAACAATAGAATAGGTGTGTTCCAGTATAACATTTACATCCACTGAAATACGAAAAATACTAACAATAAAGCAATTAGTATTAAAACTAAAACTAAAAACTATTTAATACTGGTATTAACATACTAAACATCTTTAATAACTGACACAATCAATTACAAATACCTACCCCCCACCCCAATAATAAACATGTCTGAAACAATAATTTTCACACTCAATTTAATAAAAGCAGACAATTTAAACACAACTAAAAGTAAAGAAAATATCCTGTCTGATGACGATCAAGGATGGCTGAAAACACTTGAAAAATGAATTTAAGGTTCCTCTTCCACAAACTGGACTATGACATATAAAAGATCACATAACAGATGAAAAGAATCCCCAAAAAGATTATCAAAAGAAAAATTTCTGTGGTATTTAATGACATGTCTAAACAAGAGCCTGTACAAAGGTCTCATGGGTACCCACTGAATCTATTTACTACATCTCAATTTTCCTAAGGTAGTATTCATATAAAATACGAATTTCATTTTAACCTAATTATGTACAATAATGGATCATATGCAATATAGGTGAACAATTCAAGTAGAAAGTTTAAAAATAAATACAATGCATCTAAATACAAATTAGAGACATGTCATAGATCATTCCTTCTTCAATAAATCAACAATGTTTTGCAGCAATTTCTAACATCAACGTGACATTTTCCTTGTTAAAAAGTTGAATAATTTTAACACATTCAACATTGAACAACAGTGAATTTTATTATATAGTGTTTTTTTTCAGACTAGCATCAGCAAAAGAAATTCACGGATTTAGACAAAAAAAAAAAATGGAGAATAATATCAAAATCTGCAAAAAATAATACTCAATTGTGTTTAGTTTAATTTGTAATGCATATAAATGTAGGTAGAAATAGCAAATGTTGATAAGATAATGAGGGTAACAAAGCACTGCCCAGGTCCCAATCAAGCTTAGGCCCTCCCAGTCTGGGTGTTTGGGAGCAGTCTGTATCAGTCCCTATCTAACTATCTATAATTTCAATTTCTACAAATATTTAAAATGATAAGACTGAAATTTTGACTTTTTATCCCTAGTTAGGTTTTTAATTGAAGTGTTAAATTTATCAATTTTTTTTACCATAACAATAATAATGTAACAGAATATTATCAACTACATTTACATTTGTATTGATGTCTTCTTTCCAAAGAGTAAACTGAAATTAGGATGCTTATGGCCATATCACATTAAAATACCAGTTCCATGGGAACAGGCATGAAGGGTGTACACTCCCACTTTAAAATTTCTGAGAAAAACTTTTTATTGCAAAGTAGATAAGGTAAACTATAAGGAGTGAAGACAGATTTAACACACTTGTCCTTTTGTATGTTCAAGAAGGACATTTAATTAGACTATGATAAAATTATGAGCCTCTATGCAAATAAGAATCCACAAACATTGACTTGGTTAATCCTCTTTCATAAACACTATATAATTACACTTTAAATTTACAATTTTACATATGAAATAAATAAAATGAAAATTTAATTTTATATATATGTGTGTGTGTGTGTGTGTGTGTTAACATTCTCTACTCATTTCTATAATCAAATCACAGAATTTAAAATTTTGAATTGAGATTTTTACTGAGGAACACGCTCTCTCTAACTAAAAATGCTGGATCTGCCACCCACCTTTCCCACCGGTCACTGAATTTAAGCAGTTTCAAGCCTTGTCAGTACCTAGATGGGTGACTGCTTGGGAATGCCATGTACTGTAAGCTTAGATGTGTGAATGGTGGAATGTATAATGGCTTGGAATTGGGAATCAGAGGACAAAGTTCCAACTCCCATTGAGTTTGTTATATTCATGTATGTGCAAATACAATTGAGAAAGGTATAAATCCCCCTCTTCTCTCTTCAACTATATTAGTAGAACTTGTATCAGTAAATTATTATTAACTTTAAAAATTCCTACAATCTAAAAATATTTTCTGGCTTTAAATAACCAGCAAAATGTTGATAAGCTGTAAAAAACAAATCAGTCAATTATGAAATTAAAATTTTATTACTGAAAAAAAAAAAATCATTCAATTTGGATTAATCAAGGAAAACATTCGAGCAAAATACTTTTTCACCTACAAATTACAATGCTGAAAACCTCTTAGCAAAAATCCTCATGTCTGGTCATAAAAACACAGATTTTAGGAAGTGAGTCCAGCCCAAAACCTTTCAGCACACTCATATATTTTAAGTTAGTGAATCAGATTAGTGTGGTATTGAGTAATTCTAGTCTATGCAGAAATTATGAGATTGGTCATGTAACTTCATTATTAGTCACTGTTTCAGCCTGCAGCAGAATAGCGAACTGATATGACTTATTTCCTTCCATTTTATTATGATCTTGTGTGAGCTTATTTCATGTCTGTTACTTATTGGTGCAGATGGTGTAATGGTTACCAAATTGGAATGAGAAATCTTTGAGGCAAATCTTGTATTCTAGTTGAGTTCATAACATTCACTTTCACACAAATACCTTTGGGAAATATGTGAATCCATCTCTCTTCTCCATGCCTAACTATAGGTTAGGTAGTAGCACAAACTGGGAACTCTAGCAGAGGTTGACAACCAGTTTAAGAGAAGAAAAATTCAAAACTCAGCCATTTGAAGCTGTACAAAGATGGTTAGACATAATGGTGCACATAATGTTTGCAAAGCAAAAACTGTAGATGATCCCACCAGAAAGCAATTATCTAGAATGTTGTTGATGCTAAAAGGCATTATGGGAAGATGAATGAAATTATTACAATGATGTTATCCCTCCACCTCTATTTTGGTTATCCTTTACTTCTTTCTTCAGGCACCATACCCTCAAAATAAAATTTAGGAAACCCTGTACTTGATCCAAATAGTTTCAAAGATTTACTATGAATGGTATCAAATAGTAAAAGGTAAATTGGTTACATTTCTAAGAATGGTTGTTTTCATTTTGTCTGTCAGATTGTTATCTGTAATGAGGTGTATCATATGGTTTTAGAATATTTCAATTTTAGCTGAAAGTTTTTGTGTCCAGGCTAAATCATATAAAACAACTGGAAGAATGTATATTAGATATATTTTCATTTTAGTATCAGTCATTTATGTGCCATGTGTGATACACACTAAGGCGATCAAGTATCTTTCGATACATGACTGACAAGGCAGATTTTTCCTGCAGTAGGTTGCCATTTCTTTCTGCAGTAGACCAGTTGCCATCCAAGGCTATAGAATTCAGTCTGTCCTGCTATTTACTCATAGCTGAGGGAAGAAGAAGAGGATTCATGCCTTTCCCAAGGGTATTAGCATGTAAGTGAATTTCACTGGATTTGACTGGAATTTGAACTTGGCTCTCCGATTCCTCAATCCGAACCAATATCCATTACTCCACCATGCCTACTCATTTCAAAATTAATTTACCAGATAGGACTATCATTTTATTCAACCCCTCTATAAATTAATTAACTAATATGCTATGTAAATTATTTATACTATTTACATCGTTCCTCATCTTTATTGTCATATTGATGACATTTCAGCCGTTGTACACTCCAACCTTCTTCAGGTAATATTTCTTGGTATTCTAAACTGAACCCTTTATTTAGAATATGGAGGTAGATTGTTCTAATTCCACATACCATTGTTTTGGATATCTAAGTTTCAGTTAATTTCCATTGATAACTCTCTGAATTGACAATGGATGCCCTCACATTTCATGGTCCACTGTTCAAAAGTTGTAAAACCTCGTTTATCAGATTTTGGAATATCTACCTTATTTCTCAAACATCTTCTCTGACAGATTATCACTTATTCAAAAATTTTCAGCTTAGTATACTAAATAGAAGATTCACTTATAGTAAAGAAGTAGTTGAAAAATTTTAACAGTTTATTGAGACAAAAGATGAAGATTTTTTAGAAAAATGGTATAAAAATTAGAGTTTCATTCAAAGCAAATTGTAGAACAATTTTAGATACCAAATAAAAAATAAATACTAGACAATAATTGGTAAAACAACTTTTAATTGAATCATTTATGACCTGAAAATTCTAATTCATTTACAATGAGATGCATAATTAGTTCAGAGTAAAATCATTTCTTTAAAATATATATACTTTTTTAAAGTATGTTTGATATAAAAGCATAAAAATTTGTATGCTTTATAAAACAAAAAAGAAAAGAAAAAGTGCTCTTTTGATATATTTGTCTTTATCAAGATTTGTTGGGTGACAAAAAAAGAAAATTATTTATTTATTGGTTAATTAAACAAATTCAGCATTTGATTGGGGAAAAATACTTTTAAATTTACTCATCAACATTAGCTGTTGAAGTTTCTTCTGGGATAGTTGTAGATGGATTAACTGTAATGTCATCATTAACAGGAGAAGATTCACTAATTTTATCATCTAATATTGCAGAAAAACTTTCCACACAAGCTGATTTATTTATAATAGATATGTCTTCAGCTTCAGGTGTTAAAGCATCTACTACTGGTTTTAAGGGACTTTCCGTTTTTTCTTCTTGCTCATCTTCCTTTTGGTCATCGTTTGTTTTCTCATTGGCTGTATCTTGGGCAACCAAGGGCTTTATGGATAAATAATTCTGACACACATCATAACTGAATTTTGATAATTTTTCTGCCTCTTCCCCATCTTTAGCAAGTGCCGTAAGTTGATCTGTACCCAGTGTCAAATTCATAAAGAATTCTCCTGTTACTTCTTCAAGATCAGGATCTACAGCAACATGCACAATAGTTTGGCTGCCGTCCCTTTCTGAACGTCCAATCAGTTTAAAAATCCACAGGAAGATTTTGTTTAGAAAAGCTTTTGTTTTATTTTCAATGTTCCTCTTTGCTATTTCTGTTTGTACACATCCTGGGTGTACGGCATTAGCAGTTACACCTGTACCTTTCAGCTCTTTAGCAAGTGTTCTCACGTGAAAATAGTTGGCAAGTTTGCTGATTGGGTAACCTTGCAAATTTGGATATTTCACTTTTCTGTTCTCCGAGCTTGGATCATAATTAAGTTTCTTCCAAATAACATACAATACTGTGGAGCTGACATTGATAATTCGACTGGGAGTAGATTTCTTCAGAAGGTCAAGAAGAAGTTGAGTGAAAAGGAAGTGACCTAAATAGTTGGTGCCAAATATCATGTCAAACCCTTGCTTTGTGGTTTCTTGGTCATTTAATCCAATTCCTGCATTGTTGATCAGAACATCTAATCTGTAGAGAGACAGAAAAATCAATATCAATATTAACACAATTCATAATTAGAAAACATCTTTATACATATAAAATTTGTTTTAACATACTAAAAATGTCAAAAACTACCATATTTGGTGGTATATAGGATTCACTTTTATGACCATCCACTGACAAACACATCAAGACAAACAACAAATATCCTGTACTGGATGCAAGCCAGAAAATAAATCCTCTGAATGATTGAGGAAAGTATATACTAGCTCTGATATATGAAGTTGAGGCATCTATAAGTAAATATCAGCCCACTGGGTGCTTCTAGCTCAACTCCCTAATACTGTAATATTAAATCTATAGAAAGTATAAATCAACTGCATTCACTTTTACACAAATGCCTTTGGGAAATATATGAATCCATCTTTTCTCCCTGACACTACCTCTGTTTTAATTAACAGTGTAGATTGAACTTTCCAACCACTCTAAGAGAAGGAAACTCTAAATTCCAAACTAGGGAGAATTTAATAGAAAATCAATACCAATATCTTGCCCAAGAAGGCATGATAATTCACCAATACTAAAGGATTTACAAGCGTCTACATTTGGCTTGATGATTGCATTTAACATGAAACAGACTGTCTGGGTGTTGACTTCAATGTCCACTTTTATATTTATATTTACATACATACATACATACATACATACATACATACATACATAAGGAAAATAGATCCTTGCTGAACTGTAACACTCTTTGTAGCCAAGTGGTAAAGCATACCAGATAAAATAGTGGTTTCTTCTAAATAGGTTCAATTCCTGCCAGGGAGCACATTTTCTTTATTGATATTTCTCAAATACGCAGGCCAGTATATTGAACACACAGTTTAAATTAAAAATAAAAAATGCGCATATATTTCAAATACAAATATCCACTATAATAATGTTTAAAGTAATAAAAGGTCTTGGATTAAAAATAAATCCGTTAATTCTTTAGTAAAGGTGTCTTTATTTTTTATTGATTTCACTAACTTGGTTCATTAATTAGTAATGAATTTTATTGTTATTATTCCATGTCAGTCATGTTTTGTGTTACCATAACAATAGTTTTTTGGCTTTTTGACAATGATGTTCACCCTGTACAAGGCCTGAGAGCCACTCGAGGTAGAGGGCTATAAATTAAGAGGCACAGTTTACATGAATATGTAGGAAGATAATGGTTAACCTTAGACTTGAACAGGTTAAGATTGTAGTGATCAGGGAAACATCATCTTCCAGAAAGCAGCAGTTCATTGGAAGAAGCTGCTCGAGTGTAACTTACATCTCACCAATGGTCTACAAAGGGAATGAGGGTTGTTTGCTACAATGTGTGTGGTGTGGCATGTCTTAGCCCTAATGGTAAGAACTGGTGGAACTAAGGAAACATAGGAAATAAGGAAACACTTTACATGGAAATAGTGACAGAGCAGCAAGAGGCTTCCAACATTCCATTTGTGAGAAAGGGGTTGTAAGATGGAAAATAATTTGTCACCCACAAAGATCTGGAGACACTTTTGGACTCTATTGAGACAGGAAAGTGATTGCTGGGCAAATCCTGTCCCTATATAGCAGCAGTACTCCATTTCCAGTCTAATCTGGCTTTTGTAACAATAAAGAATAGTAGGAGGAGTCAAGTACTTACAGAGAACCCACCATTTTTTCAGCATCTTTAGCAATGAATTATATGTAGAAGTTCCATTTGAGGTCTATGTTGAGTCCCAATATGTGCTCAAGGTACAGGACATCCCTGAAGGAACATCCGTTCATAGTGATTGATGATAGCTCTGGATCCAATTGGCAATAATGGAATGTCACTATTTTGGTTTTTCAAGCATTGAATGTAACCAGGCAGTTTTTCCTCCACAGAGCTAGGTTAGAGGAGATGTTCTTACAATCCAATAATATGTTTTAACTTTAAATAACCCACAGCAGGTTGATAAACCATAAAAAAAAAATCATTAATCTTCTGGTGATGTCAAAATCCTAATTATTCAATGGTGATTATAAAGTTATTTGTCTAGATTAATATTCAGTAAGTACTGAACATAAAGGTTTCTGATATTTTATAAGTACAATGTACATTGATTTATTGATTTTTTATAGCTTATCAACCTTTTGTAGGTTATTTAAAACCGGAAAATATTTTTAGACTATAAAATTATAGACTGAATTTTTTGTATATAATAATGATTTACAGATACAAATCCCACTAATAGTTGGAGGGAGAAGAGATGGATTCATGCTTTTCCCCAAAAGGTATTTGCACATAAGTGAATATAATGAACCTGACTGGAATCCAAGCACAGGATTTGGAACTGTTATCCATTACACCACCTGCGCATCCAAACTTACAGTACCAAGTATTCCCAAACAGTCACCCATCTAGGTACTGACTAGGCTTGATGTTGCATGACTTTAGTGACCATATGAGAAGCATTGTTTCAACATGATATGGCCGTAAGCCTAAGCACAATGTACAGGACAATAACCTAGAGTATTAAACCATTGGTTTGTGAATTAGGTTGCATAGTAATTCAATCCCTGGACCATGGAGTCCAGATTTAGTAGAAACAGAGCTAGGAATAACTGCAGTATAGTACTTCTCACCAGTTAGTTATAGTCAAAGAAAGGAAAGTTGAATTATTTGGTGTTAAATAGAACCTTTGACTGTAAAATAAAAATTGACATAATAATTACATAATAATCCATATGTATAAAATACAATATATAGGAAGTTGTGGAGAGTGATGGTCGCCTATATCCTGAAGAGTATGGTACATAAAAGTAGAAGCTTCTAAAGCCATCTGACAATGTAAAAAACAAAACGCAGTTTAATCCGACAGTGAAACGTCATTTGTCATCTCACTACAACATATGTTTCATCATAATGACTAATACTTTTTTCAGGAAGAGGAAAGGTTAACTTTAATTTTACATAGAAGCAAATATTCATGGTTACAAATATTTCTACTTAAAAAAAAAAATTACTGCTTTGTTCCTTATGTTGTGTAAAAGCATTTTCGCCCTTTACATATAACTTCCTTACAACTCATTCAAGTAGGTGGTAAGGGTAAATTGATAAGAACATCTGGGTGATATCAGCAATTGCTTCTTTCTGGGAACAAGGGAAGAACTTTTTAAGAATTTTAGGTGGAGTCTTTTTAGCCTCTTATGAACTAGTTTACTCATACAGTCAAAAAAGGATGTTAATATTTAAGTTTCATTGCAATTGCATTACACTTTCAGTCAGAATTTCTGGGATCTGCAGCCATCATTATTTATATTATTTACAGTTGAACAAATGTCTTCAACTTTGTTGTTATCACAATGTTTCAACTGCTGTGCCTGCCAGCCTTCTTCAGGTTTCTGTTTATCTTCAGTGATTTTCAAACTGAACCCTTTATTTAATCTACCAGGTTAGGTTGTTCTAGTTTCAGGTCTAGGGATATATTGTTTTGTTTAATTTTTAGTACTGCTTGCTCTGTTTCTACTAACCCTGAGTCTAGGGATTGAACTCACAATTACTATGCCATCAAATTCATGCATGAACACTACAGGTTTTCTTCTGTGCATTGCACTTATAAAATATCAAAAACTTTTATGTTAAATACTTTCTGAATGTCAAAAAAATGAATTAACTTTTGAATCACCATTGAATAATTATGATTTTTACAACAGCAGAACAATGAGAATTTGTATAGAAAACGGTTATACACCCACAGTACTGGAAAATTCTTGGCCTAGCCAAGAAGAGAAGGTATTCAAAGAATCTGATATTTCATCAGATTTGAGGAAGTGGATCAGGCTGAGAACATTTTAGCATCTCTTGTGTCTACACATCGCATTTATATATATATATATATATATATATATCCATCCAAGTATAGGATTGGTGTATATGGAATAAATTCCGATAACCAACAAATACTATTCTTAAAAGAGTGCTCAATACAGAGTAGAGCAAATATAATGTTCTTTCTTTTCAGATCAATAAATATATAAAGACACATTGTCTTTTATACACAGACACATATATATATATGGTAAAAATATAATTTTAAAGTATGCTATATTTATGGGTTAAAGTGATCAATATCAGGGATAGAGCATATATAAATATAAAAGTGGACATTGAAGTCAACACCCAGTAGTAACAGTCTGTTGACCTCAATGTCCACTTTTAACTTAATATAAAAAATGAAAATTGAGAAAATAAACAATCAATTACTAATATCTCCTGATGAGTGGATGGAGCAATTGCTGGAGGGCCTGTCTATGAGTTGGGATATTACAAATAAAATCAATCAGTTAAGTGACAAAATTTATGGTTTGTATTAATCATATTATATATATATATATATATATATATATATATAGAAGGGATGTTAGAGTAATAGATTACAGCTTGAATTGTGGAATCGGAGAGCCGAGTTCATTACATGCTAATACGTATGAATCCATCTCTTCTCCCCATCCAACTATGGTTAAATAGCAGGACAGACTAGATTGCTTGGGCGGCAACCAGATTAAGAGGAAAACTGAATTCAGATCTGTATGTAGCCCTATAACACATACTATGCAGCTAAGGAAAGGATCATTCACACTGACTTGATGACCCTGACTATGATTGATTCCTTATATTCACCTTTTTCAATGATAGGTATCAATGGCCTAGGGGTTAGAATCTTGACAAATACCAAATCGATCGGGATTTGGTCCCAGCCTGAAGCGATCAGATGTCTACCCCCACTGATGAGCTGTGATACAGTGAAACAGTCTATCTGTGGATGACTATATATATATTTATTCAAACCAGAGTTTCACTTTCACAATTGCATTGTTCTGCTCTGAGAGAATTGTAACCTTTAAATTATGGTTTTACGCAAATAAAAAAGTTCAGCCAGTTTAGTTTATAGAAATATAATTTCTATGCAGGTTAAACAAAATCAAATTCATAAACTTAAGCAAAAGTTTTATGTTACTAATAT